ATTCCATAATTTTATTCTGGATGAATAAGCATTCAATTAAAAGCTGAAAAATAGCTTAGAGCTCATGTTACACTAATTTTAGGTCAGGGTCTTTGTTCATCAGGAGTAACTAAGCCAAAGAGAAGCAATGAGATAAACAGAGAAAAGAAATCAAGCAAGCAAACAAACAAACAAAAAGCTGAAAAAGAAAAAAATGAACAAAAAAAGTGAAAATATAAATGCAAGGAATTGTGAGAGAAGATGCCTCTTTCAAAGCATAAAAATTGACAATAAATCTTTGCAACTTTTTTTGCATAAATCTTGAAAATTCTCTTGAATTCTAGACACTGTAATATGAACAATTAAAATAAAAAGGTTTTTGAGCAAAATGGGAGGATAAAACTTTAAAGAAGCTTAAACATCTAACATGGATTATTTAAGAGTAAGTCTGCACGACTTATTCTTTGGGAGAGTAGGGAGTTTTTTGAAGTATTTTGCTGCTTGTTTTCTCATGTTTCTGTTTTTTGTTTTCTGTGGATTTTCTAATTATTTTGTTAGGAAATTTTGTTTTATATTTTCATAGCAGAGTGTTTTTTACATTTTCTTTATTAATATGTACTTGTATTACATTAAAAGAAATTTAAAAAGTACAGCCCTCATTCCAAGGTGCAGGGGGGAGAATAAGTTTGTTTATTTAAAAAGTATTTCTACAGTTTACAGATCTTGCACTGGTATTTCTGGCATATTTACCCTCAGGAATTATTCTGACAGTATATTTAAATTTTCCAGATGTTTTACCTGTCATGTTACCAAAGCAACAAGGCCATGTTTGAAATGTAAAATTCAACAGCAATGATAGGTGGCAATTATTCCCCAGGATGACTCAGAAGCAGTGCTGATGGAAATATACATATTAAATAGAGGTGTGGCCTAGGGTAGTGAGCTCAGGTGCACTTCTTACATGTGCTGGGTTTATGTTCTAGGTGGTTATAGACGACCTCTGAGCAGCTGTGGGAGTGAAGAATACCACACTCGTTCTGGAAGGATGATCAGAAATCATTTCTTTTTTTTTTTTTGGTACCAGGGATTGAACTCAGGTTCTTGCGCCTGCACAGCAGGCAAGAAATCATTTCTAAAGGAAATATTCTGTGAAAGTCATTGGGGCAAATATACATAGTGTGGGGAAAAGAAGAAATTATTTGATACTGAGGTCATCATAGAGAAAAAGGTATTTAAAAATATTATACACACCAACTCTTTGTAAACCTTTTGTGAACATACACAGTGTAACGGACACATAAAGTTGAAAATTGTCCTCTGAATTTATGTCAATGGGGCTCTTGCTTCAGAAACTTCTGGGAAAAATATACTATAACTAATTAATTATTAACTATTATTACCAGAAGTGAAAGGAAATAGAATCATGATTTCTTTTTTTCCTAGTTAAAAATCTTAAAAATCGTTATTTCATTTTCTCTGATTACTAGAACTTTTTGACCTAATAAGACTTCCTAGTTAAATGTAAGAAATAGATTCCTACACACACACACACACCCACACACACACACACCCACGCAGGTATGTGAAGAGAAAAAATTTAAGCCTCTCGATAATATTTATGACGCTTTAAAGACAACCAATTATAACAATCAGATTTTGTGAAAGTAACTGAAAAATCCATTTTGTGGCCCCAGTTACCACACAAATGTTCATTTGTTTCATGGTCATTTTCACTATTATCTGAATTCCATTTTATTTAAACTCTAAGAGTCAGGAAATGAACAGTTTTTCCCTAGGTAGCTCTCCATCATATGTCAAGATAGAAGAAAAATTACTTTCCAGAAAATCAGCTATAGCTTCATTGTGATGTCAAGTTTTACTATTATAATTTTGAATTGGTCAATTTTCCCCTTTGTCTTCTTTCTTTTGGAGATATAATACAGTTACACAAAAAAGATTTCTTTTTGACTGAATCAGTTGCTATCTCACTGACCTAGGCCTGTTCTCAGTATTTTCCGCATACTTTAGTTTTCTTCAAAACTTGTTATGTGTTATGATTCCGTAAGTCACCTATTATTTTTTCAAACTGAAACCCAAATATTGGTTTTATTTCTAGTTAAATCATATTGTCTATTTGTTTTCTTGCTGCCTTTTCAAATGGTCAACAAGGATTAATTAAAGTTGCACAATCCTTAATAGCTTTCTTGAGAACTAGTTAATTTTGTGAATTCCCACAGTACATTTTTATTTTTTATTTTTTGGTACCGAGGATCAAACTTGGGACCTTGCACTTGTGAGGCAGGTGGTGGAACCACTGAGCTAAATCCCCAGCCCTCCCACAGTACATTTTAATGCACACATTCGTTATTACATTGAAGCATTCTGAAGGCAGGGATGAATGTGATTTCATTTCACGATTCCCCAAATGAGAGGTTATGGCATGGCATTTCTGTCCATTTTATAATCTAAAACTGATAAAAGTTGAAAAATTAAAAACAATCCATAATCTTTTTAAAAATAGAATAATTTCTTGGTTTGGTATACTGCATTTATTCTCATTCACACAGAATTTAGCATATGAAAAGGGACATATTGTATGTAGGTAAATAAATACAGTGCACAAAGAGGACATTTGTTTCTTTCACACATTTGTGAAAGTGACAGGTGAACACATGGTTCAATAGTTTACTGTTTCTCAAATCAGAATCACCTGTTGATGCGTGGTGAAACTATGTAGTTTTGGTAAGAACAAGAGGAAGCAAGCACAGTTTCCCTTTCTGAAATAAAGCCTCATCAGTGCTGGAGCGAGTGCCACGTGAACGGCATGGGTATAATGGAGGGCAAAAATCAAAGTATTCACTCAAAAACTCTGATACACAAGCCCTGGTTCCATTTCTCTAGAGACTGCTTTCTAGGGAATAACCTGAAATAATGGAGTAAAGGAGTTGGTGAAAGGTTTTCTGCAGTTTTTACAAGTTCCAAATACACTGTATATCATGTAGGACAGTAGATGGAAACAAAACCAAAACCCCTGCTATGCATTTGGTTCCCAGAGACCCAGTCAGGTTGTGGCACTGATAAAAACACCTGGACAGCCGGCTGTGCCCAGTGCAAACACTGTCACATATACACACACAGGTGTGTGGAAGGGCTCCCCTGGCTCGGAAGGGAAGAGTGATGTCCATCTGGGGCTTTTTACTTCTGCTTACACCCTACACACACCCTAAAAGGAGATAAGGCGGTGACCGACTGAGTTGTCTACAAAGAGAAGCCAGAGCAGATCTCAGCAGAGTGATTTTCTTCTGTAGGCTTCTGAAGCTACTGTGTTAGTATGATTTCCCTCCAGAAAGAAAGCCCAGTTAAAGGTGGGAAAAGTTGTTTGTGCTTCTCCTCTACCAAATGACTTGCAAATTTATTCAAACACAATATGAGGGGATGCTTTATTTGCTGAAATAACTGTCTGTAGTATCCTGTGCTGAAGGGTGAGGTACATCAAGCAGAAACATGTGCAGAAATACATTGGTTTAGAAACTCATAAATCCTTATTTGAATCTGCCAACCTGAAAGCCATGTAGAGCCTGAATAAACTATTTTTCCTAAATGCTAAATCTGATTAAGCCATACCATTAAGTGACAGCTGAACTTTAACATTAATATGATATTATTGAAATAACCACATGATTTTTTTTTACACTAAAAATGATGAATGATTTCTGGACAGCTCAACTGACATAAAGCAGGAGGACTCTTTAATGAGATTTAGCAAAATGGAGACATATGCAGAATATTTGTTGCAGCTCACATTCAAGGGCCCTCCCTGGGAAGCTATTGAGGTGTTTTTTTCCCCCCTTTCTTTTTTTATTGTGTTTAGGCATTGAAGCATTCCTTTCGATCACCAGTTCCCTTCTCTGTGGATTCTGAGATTTTATGAGGTCATTTACATATTACTCTTAATCAGAGGATTTGGTGATTTATGGTCCCGAATTGGGACAGTGTGTCCAGGAAGAGGAGGGGTGGTCAGATCCTTGGCTGGCAGCATCCCACAACCCCAAGCTCACTAGCAATCAGGCTGATGGAGGAAGCACATTAGCCTTGAAGATGGAATAATTATACATTTAATCGGTTCTTATGTAATAAATCTCTGGCACAGCAATCATAGTTTTAGCAAATTCCTGTGTACGGGTCCAGGATCAGAGAAGGCTTTAGCTATTTTGAAACAGTTATTTCTATAGTGTCAACTATAAAGATTTTCCTTTTTCAAATTCAATTCAGCTCTTTAGAGGCCATTTTCAAGATTTCTCACACTCTTCTATCCGCAGTTCCAAACTGGCATCATCATGCTGGATGATAAATGCTCTTATTTAGTAGATTTTGAGTGTAAAATAATTCTGTGGCGAACATATTTATACAGAATATTACCTACCTTCATTCATTTATCTTTTTATATTCTCCCAAATATTTTCCATCAAAGTTTATTTACATGTATAAAACATAAACATTTGTTTGCTGGCACATATGAATTTAGATCATTCAGATAATGTTGACATTTTATAAATCATCTTAACTATAGACATTAAATGAAAATGTTTCCCTGAACAATGTCCCTTGGAGAGATGAAAACGCGGCAACAGAGAGCAAAGCTGATACCAAGTGTGCTCCTGACTTCGGCAGGCTGGCACTCCTCTATCCAAACCGAAAATAAAGTCAGTCTGCTCCTGCCATGGGGACTTCCTGAGGCTATGAAAAAACACTTCATGTCTAACCCTAATTTTTCCATAGCTTAAGGTAACCCTCCTAGCTCAAGCCTTCTCTCTAATCTGAGTTACTCAGTATGTGTCTCCATCCCAACAAAAGTTAAAATCAGTGCTCTGTTATTTCAAAAGGGTCTTGACATAGGGGACAAAGAGCAGAAGCTTGTAAGCCTGTAAAATTTGCTGTTGCAACTGGATGGGAAAAAAAAACTTGTTAAAAAAAAAGAGAGAACAGAGAGAGAGGAAGATTGGTCCCTACCTGGCTCTTACCTTCTCAACATCCCTGTCAGAATCCTGGAGCTTTTCCCCAAGTCTGCATCTGTTTCCCGAAGCTAGGAGGAGAAATGAATGGTTAAACAAAGCAAAAGTAAAATATTATGCAATTAGATTGTTTCTAAAGCACATGGTGAGCAACAATTTTATATCATGTCAGAAAATCCAAACGAAATGCTTCCACGCACAAACATAAATATATTTCCAACACTTGCATAAACTGAAAATTTTACATTCAGAAAATAACATGTGGGAGGTAATCCAAGGAGCTTTAAAATGGATACTTGAACTGGATATAAAAGCAAATGTCTTGCAGGCTGACAAAGTTCAACATATGTCTGGCAATTGATCTCTAATGCAGAAATATGCAAAGTCCTAAAAATAAAAACGGAAATGAAATGAAGGAAGGATGAGACATTAGTATTTTTGAGTCCTTGCTCTGCACAGCTGGCACACTCCAAAATCTCCCTCAATGGCTTTCTTTCCAGCCACAGAACTAAATAAGACATCTATCTACCTGTGGGCACCCGGGGGTGGGCACAGTCAGCTTCTGTTCCAGTCCTCGCCTACCCTTTCTTTGCCTATTGGTTTACCCCAGCCATGTTGATACATTATGTACTTGTATCTCTCTCAGCATTGTTATTCTCTACGTGTATTCCACAAACCTTTTATTCTATGTCTGCTCACTTACTGAACGTGTGAAAGATTGTGTCACTTGTACTTACTCTTTCACGTGCTCGCTGTATCTTTTCTCTGTCATGACTGAGGTTTTCCAACATTTCTTGGCCAATTTGTTCTATGGGAAAAAAATTCTGTGAGGAAAGAGAATTTGGGGTACATGCGAGAATAACCTTTAGAAGTGCTACAATGATGACTGGTGTAGAATTAAAGGTTAAAGGAGTGCATATTCTACATCAGGTATATATTTTAATTCCTGTATATGACAAGATGCAATTTGTAATTTGACCTAAAGAGCATTAACCAGCACAGCAGTGGTAATTTAGTAGTGATGCGATGTGCCTGGGGCCACTGCAACAAACTGCCAGCAAAATGGTCCATTACCTTGTCACCATGGAATTGGGCTCTGGTTTTGCAAGGTAAGGGTGATATTAATGTTTCTGCACCTTTCTCCCTTCATTATGACAATGATTTACCCATGGGAGTCAATATTGATTTAGAATACATTTTTTTTTTTTTTGGTGGAACTAGAGATTGAATCCAGGACCCCTTTGCTAAGCTATGCCCTTAGGCATTTTTAAATTTTAAAATCTGAGACAGGGTCTTGCTAAGTTGCTTCTGTTGCGCTCAAACTTGTGACCATTCTCTCTTGGCTTCCCAGATGCTGGGATCACAGGTGCGCGCCACCACACCCAGCTTTCAGGATAACTGCAATTTTACCACAGTCACCCTGCACAGAAAATCCTCACATTCTTGCCTACTGCAGCTTGCTGGAAGAGGAACTATCTTTAGGGTTCCACTCTCTGAGACGCAAGAGCTGGCTTAATGTGTCATTTAGCTGCTGCAGATTCCTGAGGCAAGACAGGTGGGGTGCATTCCTTAACAAGTAGTCAAGGAAAGCTTAAGCTGAAGACTGGGTTTTTATCCTAGAACTGCCAAACATTTATACTAATCTTGGCAGTTTAGCATACTCATGACAAAGCCAAGCTGCTGAGTTCCAATCAAGTCTGCCCCTGTCATGATCATTGCATCTGGATGGCAACGGGGGCACTCTCTCCTTTGACTGCAGACCCTCGTACAAGGCAGTTGGTCCATCTTAACCATGCAAATAAGTATCCAGGTGCCTTGCACAAACTGTTTTCAGACTCATTCTTCATTATGCAGGAGGGGCCTTACTCTGTAATAGAATGATGCTCATCTGCCTTTCTTAGGATCTTGATAGTTCATTTGACTAACACATTGTCCACCTCTCTCACTCTCTGTCTTCCTTCTTCTCCGGTATGTCTCTACTTATACCTATAAAACAATCACCCCTGCCTTATAAATTTACAATAACATTCAATGAGCGCCTTTTATAATAATAGCAAGTAGGGCTGGGGATTTAGCTCAGTGGCGCCACACCTGCCTCATACGCACCGAGATCCTGAGTTCGATCCCTGGTACCAAAAAAAAAAATAATAATAGCAGCAAGTAATTTAATGAAGTCATTAAGAAATCACCACATAGTTAATTTGGCTCGTGTACTGACACTGACAACTTTGGAGGCGTCCTTAGGCCAGCGGCATGCTCTGGCTGGGAACACACACTGCTTGGGCCTACATCCTAATGCCGACTCTGACACTGACAACTGTGTGGCCTCATGTTCACTTAGCTAGCTGTGCTGTGCCTCAGCTTCTGGATCTCTAAAACAGAAATATTATTAATAAAACTAGTATATCATAGGGATGTTATAAGGGTTCAATAAAAATAAGTGACTGGCCCACAATAATAAGAATTAATTGATTGAGGTGGTTGGTATGAAAAAAAATCATTGGACTATTAGACTTTGAGATCTGCTCCTATCCTAGCTACAGATACAACATTCATTCTGATGTAATAATTAAATGAATGATGTAATGATTAAATGAGTGAACCTGAGTAAAAATATGGAAGCTGTAGGGTACCATACAACCACATGACACCATAAGATTCAAAGCATTCACCAAATAATCACTGAGTCCCTGCTCTGTACCAGGGATGCAGTTTACATGCATGTGCTTCTACGCCAGTAGTGAAGATTTAGCAGAGACAAATATTTCAGCAGAGTTTGTATTTTATGGCACATCAGAAAAAAAAGACTGCATATTACTTGCATAATAGAAAATCTAACTAATAAAAAATGGTTACATACAATATTATAAATATACTTTTGACACCATACAAACTTTGACAACTCTTCCCTGGTACAGTACATTCCTGGTAAAGTAATTCGTCTTAGATTTACTTTAGTTTGTGTTACAACTTCATACAATTTATCTTTAAGGTAAAACAGTGTAAGATATGTAGCTCCCAGTGGAGGCATCATACAAGTAGAAGTTGAAGAAGGATGAAAGATCTAGAGTTGAGCTTTTTTTTTGGCATGAAAACTACAGTATTTGATTCTGTCATACTATTTTTGTTATGCTGCATTCCTGTAATCAATATAATATGACAATTTTAATTCATTTAAACTTATAATCTCGAATATCTATGAGCATCATTAATCCTGTCATTATTTTAGCAAAATACTATTGATAAAATATTTATCAAGATGTGTGGTGATATAATATGTGATTTCAAATGAACCGCAAATAAGCTATTACTACTCCTGTTTCTGTGGTCAGCACAGTGTCCCAAGTGAGGATGCATGGGAAGAATGAGGAAGTGAAAGAATGAAATATAGTGAAAAATGAAGTATTGAAAGGTTTGTGATCTATTCTGGCTCTCAAGGTCTGTCAAGTATGGCACTGGAGAAAGCAATACTAGAAAGCAGATCCCCAATCCTGTCAGGTGTGGCAGAGGAAAAACAGTATTCTGAATATATCTATAGTTTGCTACCAAAGGAGTCAATGGAACAAGAGAGAAAGAGGGCTTTTTAAGGACATAAGCCACTCGACAATCTCTGTCCTCCAGGGGAAACAGCTCAACATCCCAAGTGTTAACCCCATTTGTCAAGAGTGTACACACCCTGGTCTTAACACCCAAACACCAGGCATTTGTTGCGAGTAGAATTCTTTTTTTCTTTTCTCTGCTACCTTCCATTTAAAGAATAAAGAAAATTCCAGGACAGACATTAATTAGAAATGGTTACTTTTAATGAATGAAAAAAAAATTCATGCAAAGAAAGTCATCACTATTTTTTTATTGCATGTCAAAGCAAGATGACAAATTTTAAATATACATTATTGTGTTAGGTTAAAGTTTCTTGAATAATTTAAAATATAAGCATTCATGCAAAAACCAAAATAGAAACTCACAGGACTAAAACCATGGCAAATATGACATAAGGACCTGGCACATGTACCTAATACATCACAATCCCTTTCCTCCCCTCCCCGGGCCCCTGCTTTTGTGCCTGTGTGCAGCACTTAACATTCACTTTCCTCGTGTGGAATTGGTGCATGTACATAACACATCTTAATTCTGGTTTTCATACCCTATCCCTCTTCCCTCCACTTCTTGATTCCCTTCCCCTCCCTCTTCCTACTCCCTACTCTCTGTCTTTTACACTGCTGGTGGGAACGTAAACTAGTACAACCATTATGGAAAACAGTGTGGAGATTAGTGTGGAGACTCCTCAAAAAACTGAAACTAGAAATTTCATTTGACCCAGCTACTCCCCTTCCAGGCATCTTTCCAAAAGAGTTAAAGACATCATATTACAGTGATGTATGCATACTCACATTTATAACAGCATAATTCGTAATAGCTAAATCTTGGAAGCAGCCTATATGTCATCAACAGATGAATAGACAAAGAAAATGTGGTATTTATACAATGGAGTATGATTCTGCCATAAACAAAGATAAACTTGAGTCATCTGTAGGAAAATGGATGTACCTTGAGACCATAATGTTAAGTGAAATAAATCAGGCACAAAAGCTAAATATCATACGGTTTTCTTATATGAGAAACCCAAAGTATAAATAAAGATAATTTTCAGTTCTTTTAACTTAGGGTTTTTAATGGGAATAGCTGAATCTATTGAAGGAACATGAGAAATCATAAATTTTATAAATGCTGTATTTATATTTTTCGAGATTAAGAAACAATGGAAAGGAAAAAAAGAACTGACTTTTGTATGCTGGAATTCTCCATGTCAGCGTGAGATGACAGATGGATTTCTGGAAGGAAGAATTCCTTTCTGCCCTTCTATCCTTTCCACAGAAGTCCTGGGATTACAGCTCTCAAACAACTAATTGTTTCTACAGCTACCTGTCCTTGGTCCATTGTATTTAACTTTCTTTTTATAAACTTTGGTAAGGATGTGGTTCTCAACAAATTCTTTTAAAAACGAAGGCAGCCACTTGGATCTTCTTTAAATTGCTAAGAAAAGTAAATTTATTTCCTGGCACCCGACCACTTCAGCAGCAATTTGAAGGGCAGATAAAAGGCATTTACAATCACCAAGGCATTGTTTGCACATGGGGACTCTTGTGAAGTGCAGGAACACACAGCAATACCATAACAGAGCTATTTTGACGCATGTGTTTTCATATGTGCATTGCAAAATGCCAGCCAGACACAGGACAGACATATTTCCTAACAGTTTCAAGTGTTGAATTTTGAAGATGACTTGGGAATTTCTAGGTACTGAATTTAAAAAGGGGAAAAAAACTTGCTGCTTCAGAAAGCACAGGGAGTCATAGCTTTTCCAGGAGGTCTCCACTCGTAGAGTGGATGGCTTACTGATTCTCACTTTGCACACATCTTTGGGCACTGATTCTGCTATCACTCCCCAAGCAGACAGACCATCCTCAGTATTGGTGTTACTCTGGCATGGGTATCTGGCACTGGAATGGTGGTACAGCGGGAAAGACAATTCTTCCACCAACTTCCATTATTTGAAACTTGAGACATGTGAGCAACTTCTGCTTCCAGTTAGAAATCAGCACATTATATTTCAGATTCTACTATTCTTTACACAGTGTCTAGAATATTATAGAATTATGAGGTACAAAAAGGCAAGGACAAAAAGAATAATCAAAAGAAAATCCACCTATGTTAGCTAGCAGATCAGCAAATCCTAGTTAGAGGAGTTATCAGAGAGCTTTTAGAACAACTATTAAAGAATTTACAGGAAAAGGCAAATAATGGTTA